TCTTGTTCTTCTTGTTGTTCTTGTTCTTGTTGTTCTTGTTCTTGTTGTTCTTGTTCTTGTTGTTGCTGATGATGATCATGATGATGATGATCATGATGATGATCATGATGATGATCATGATGATGATCATGATGATGATCATGATGATGATCATGATGATGATCATGATGATGATCATGATCGTGATGATCATGATCGTGATGATGATCATGATCGTGATGATGATCATGATGATGATCATTGATCATGATGATGATGATCACGATGATGATCACGATGATGATCATTGATCATCATGATCATTGATCATGATGATGATCATCATCATGATCATGAGGGAGGCCTGGAGTGATGTCAATCACTGTTTCGACAATGCTGTGTCCAAAGTGGCACTGAACAGCATTGTCACAATAAGTTTGCACATTGAGATCTTCAGAATTTTGAAAGGAGGTGATGAGATCTCCAGTGGCACCGACCAACATGTCAAAATGTGCTTGGGCATTGGCTTAGGCCTGAGAATTTCACTGGGAATGCCAGAAAATCTTGGATATCTGCAGTGGTGTCAGCATTATCACCAAACAAGTTGTGCAAAAATTCTTCTGCCAGTGCATATTCAACTGGTGGTGTGAAGAACGCCTCTGCAACCTCCAGGACAACACATTGGAGATATGCCCATTCCAATTGCAAAGACTTCGTCAGGCCTGCAAAGGTAGCCTGCAGATAGTCCCAGGCAGCTCCAGAAAAAAGGCAGATGCTTTTGACCCACTTGTTGATCTGTGGTTGGAGCCAATCCACCTTGGCTGTAATGGTGCTGATGAAACTAGTAGTACCAATGTAATGGTGTCCATCTCCGTAGTCAAACTTGAATTCCTGGAGGATGTCACTGGATTTGGCATGGTCTGCAGGGGGCTCAACAAAAACACTTTTTGTGGGCCCTGAAAAATATCTCTTTGCTGGGCCCAACTGGAGGAGCAATCAGTTTGTGCCAGCAGCAACTTTGGAAGCTCTCCCTTGCATGTTGTTGTCGTCTGCATACAAAGTCTGAACCACATCCGGAAAAGCAGCACAAAAACAACAACTAGTACTAGTAGGAGTAACAGCAGCTAGTAGTACTACTACTACTAGTAGTAGTAGCTGTTAGTAGTACTAGTAGTACTAGTAGCTCCAGCATGGACACCACCATCACCACCTCCCTTCACCAACAGCCAGGACATGATAGTACTACTACTACTGCTGCTGCAGCATGGTGCATAGTAGTACTACAAGTAGTAGTAATGCAACACCTAGTAATAACTCTTATAGTTCTGTTCATCACATAAACCGTTTTCATGGTGTCGCGCTAATCGCGCGGTGAAGGAGCCTCTAATTT